TTTTTTTTTCCTTCTCTGAGTATGTCCTCACAGCAGTATGAGCCTACCTCAGACCCAGTATTTTGCCGCCTTCTTGCTGGCTGCCTATAGAGGAGCTATGGTCCTGGCCCCAGCTCCCTGCCCTACTGGCCTTTCCTGTTTTCTGGGAACATAAACTGGCCCACTCTTATCTGCCAGGGACAAGCACACAGTGTGGAACCTTTCCTCTTCCATAGGTGTTGGTAATTCCATGTACTTTCCTCATTTGATATTTGAAGCTCTTTGTATTGAAAGAATTTCATATAACATCCTTTACAATACTTTGCCCACCTCTCTCATCTGAGGTTATCTCTAAGTTATATTTGTGGTTGGTTTTATGGTTTGTTCTGTGGCACCCTGGGAGTTTAAATATGTTGTTGTTTATAACAACCGTGATATAATTTATTAACATGATAGCTTGTAGCAGATAGGTTTGTACCCCTTTGCCTTGAGTTCTGAACTCTGACAGGGATCAGAGGTGGTGTTAGTATACTACTTCTTTAAAGTGAGAACTTGTAAAAAGAAAAGTCTAATTCTAGAGTCCACACTGCCACTATGGAAGGAAAATGCTTATTGCTTGGTGCTTTCTTGGGCTGACATATTGAATCATTTGCAAAGTACCTGTGCTTTGGCCTTGAATTTGGAGAGGTGCATGCCTCTACATCCCTCCCACTGTATCTACTCAGGAATGAAGAAGAGCTCTTCACATAACAAGCAGGCAGTTTTTTCCTGTAGAGGGTCTGAATGTGACTAACAGAAATTGTTATATGGATACAATAAGTTATGGTCATAATTTTTGAGAGACTAAATCCTTGCTAACTTACTCCAAAGTTATGTAAAATACAGCCTCCGGTTACCTTGTGCTTATGTTTCAGCTTACAAGTTTGACTGCTGCTGCTACAGTAGGAGCAGGCTTTCACATCACCAGCATGACAACTTTAAAAGAAATTAAATAAACCTAGCTTACCGTTTATAAGCCTGAGATTGGTTTTGAAACAGTAGATATAGTCTCTTTTTGAGTCATAATACGTACTGTCCCAACCTTTTTTTAATGGAAATGGAGGTTTGATCCAGAAAACCCAAATCCAGTGAGTTTTTAAAACATAACGTTCAAGCTTCCATTGGAGACA